AAGTTGGATGTGAAGGATGAACCAGCACATTGTTCAGGTGTTGAAGAAAAAGTTAATGGGAAGCCATGGTATCATGACATCATGTAATACATTAAAAGCTAGCAATACCCATAACATGTAACAAAAAATGATCAGAAAACTATTAGAAGGTTTGTTATGAGTTTCTTTCTTGATGGAGACGTCTTCTATAAAAGAGGTCGAGATCAAGTACTTTTAAGGTGTGTAAATGCAACTAAAACGAAGAGGATTATTGAAAAAATGCATGATGGAATTTGTGGGGCACATGCAAATGGTCATATGATGGCTAGACATATTATGAGGGCTGGATACTATTACTTGACAATAGAGAGTGACTATATTAATTATGCCAGAAAATACCATAAGTGTCAGATCTATGCTGACAAAATCCACTCTTCCAATAGCATTGCATGTTTTGGCTTCTTCATGGCCATTCTCTATGTGGGATATGGATGTCATCAATCCCATCACTCCAAAAGCTTTAAATGAACATAGATTCATCTTTGTGATAATTGATTACTTCATAAAATGGGTGGAAGCCGCATCATACGCTAGTGTGACCTGATCTGTGGTATGCAAATTCATAAAAAAAGAGATAATATGTAGATATGAGCTTCCAGAGATAATTATTTCTAATAATACCAAAAATTTGAACAGCAAAATGATGAATGAAGTTTGCACTTAGTTCAAGATTTGTCACCGTAATTCGACACCATATCGTCCAAAGATGAATGGGGAAGTAGAGGCTACAAACAAGAATATGAAAAGAATCTTGAAGAAAATGACTAATACTTACAAAGATTGGCATGAGAAGTTAACTTTTGCTTTGCATGCTTATAGAACATCAGTCCGAACATCTACTAAGGTCACCTCGTTCTCTTTGGTATATGGAATGGAAGTTGTGCTACCGGTCGAAGTAAAAATTCCTTCACTGAGAGTCCTGATGGAGGTAGAATTAGAGGAAGAAAAATAGGTTCGAAATCATTACGAGCAATTGAACCTCATTGAAGAGAAAAGACTTACAGCACTTTGTCATGGTCAATTATATCAAAAGAGGATGATGAGAGCACATTATAAGAAAATCCATCCCCATTACTTTAATGAAGGAGATTTAGTGCTAAAAAAGATCCTTCCAAATCAACATGATAATCGTGAAAAATGGACACCAAATTGGAAAGGCCTGTATGTGGTGAAAAAGACATTTTCTGGTAGGGCATTGATTTTGGCTGAGATGGATGGAGGTGATTTGCCTACTTCAATAAATTCAAATGCTATAAAAAAATATTTTGCTTAAAAAAAAAGAAAAATGATGATTTATCTAAGCTGAAAACCTGAAAAAGGTGACTTGGATATGAAGGAGAAGCATCATCAAAAAAAGATCCCATAACATCGGGGCAAGTATAGTTTGACAAACTCTAAAAAAATCAAAGAAATCATCTGATTTAGTTTTAGAAAAAGAATCTGAGAATATTTTGCTCGTGATTATCTTATGATCATTATTTGGGCACCTTTGTTTCAACTCAAATACTTTGCCATGCACTTGTTACCGGTCTAATAAAATATGCTATCTTTTTTTTGAAAATAACACATATCCATTCTTTTATTCTCATTTTTTGTCCACCATACGAATAAGAAAAATGTGTGATTGCATTTTGTTTGTCTTGGACTTAAAATGATGAAAAGAAACACAAACACAAAAGGTCTCAACATTATTTTTTTTTTTTTAAAAAAAAAAAGGGCTGACAAAGGAAGATGAAAAAGGATGAGAAAAGTATGACAAGACATTAAAGAAAAAAAATATTGTTAGGGAAAAATACAATGGTCAGATGTTAAGAACATATTGGTCATATAAGAATTATGATAAAAGAAGCCAAAAAATGAGAGATTTTGAGAACTTTTTTACTACAATGAATAATTTTGATTGCATTACATGCATTACATTTAGAGCACTCAGTACATGCATCCATGAACAGTTTTAATAAGGACAGAGACTTTTCATTTCCTTATGAAAAATAAGATTTTAATATTCGATGAGGATAATAATCAAACAGAAGATTTCAAAAAAGGAAAATTTACTTGTTTAAAGATAAGAACTCGGTTTTGAAAACATATGAAATTTTTAAAATTGTTGAGCCTCTGCTGAAAAGAGCTTTTCCAAGATGGATTTTAAAGTTGTTAGGCCTCTACTGAGATGAGCTTTTTCAAGATAAGATTTTAAAAATTGTTAAGCCTCTGTTGAGAGGAGCTTTTTCAAAATGAATTTTAAAGTTGTTGAGCATCTGCTAAGAGGAGCTTTTTTCAGATTTTAAATTTTGAAAAATTGTTGAGCCTCAAGTGAAATGAGCATTTTCGATTTGACGAGAAGACTTTTTGAGTAGTTTATGTTCAAAAAAAGGAGGAAAAAAAGAAAAGAAAAATCCATTTGAATTTTGGACAAAATTGTTGTCTTTGTCTTTGCCCTATTATCGATTATCAGCAATGTGCAAAGAGGGGCAGCTGTGGACATCAAATTTGTCCGATCATAGAAAAAAAAAAATAATATTATTAAATACAATAATAAAAATTAAACAAAAATAAAAAAAATATATAAAAAAATATAACAAAAAAAAGAGGGATGGCAATGGTGCCGGGGAAAGCACCACTGCCACCGCGCCCTACCCACCATACCTTACCCCACCACCAATACTCTGATCACCCCATCCCGCTAGCTCCTAGTCCTAACACTGCTAGATCAGACAAAAAAAATAAAAAAGGCATGGGGCTCATGCTTGCACCCCATGCCGAGCCCTGTACACGCACGGTCGAAGCTTTATAAATAAATAAAAAAAAAAGAAATAGGGCATTTTTTTTAGAGGGGAGGAATGACCTAAAATTTTTTTTTTGGCTTTTATATAAGCTATCAATAGCCAAAATGACGTAGTTTCAATAAATGCCCAAAATGACATCGTTTTGAACCTTAAGGATCCGCACGTCAACCCGTGACCCGACCCGGGGTCCGCGCACCTGACCCGCGACCCACTTCCTTCATCAACCTCTGATTGGTCCGATTGAATCGAAACCGAACCGTTGAACCCGACCCAAACCGAAACTGAACCGCTAAACGTGATTGAACTGCTGACGCTAGACCGAACTGTCAGATTGAACCGCATGTTGACCGGACCTATCAGGTAAAAAAAAATTTTTTTGAATTTTTTTATATATATTATTTTATTAATAGTTATACATATTAAAATATTTATATTTGTTAGATTAAATAATAAAATATGTGGTTAAATTTTTTTATATAATTCTATTAATTTTTAAAATAAACTTTAAAAATAATACAAAAATAAACTTAATGTTAATATAAAAATGAATAAAAATACAATAAAAAAAAATTTTTATCCGATGATAAGATTCAAAGGTACTCCAAGTAGTGATACCTATGAAATCTCTAGGTGAAAAGATTTTTTTAAAATACTACTAGTGTATTGGAGTATTTATAAAAAAAAAATTTCAATACAATAAAAATTTTCTTTTTTTCTTATAAAATAATAATAATAAAATTAACTAATAAATTAAAAATAGGTAATAAAAAATGAGAAAAAATGAAATTTTGTTCGATGATGGGATTCCAAAAGTATTTCGAGTAGAGATACTTTAAGAAATCCTTGGGCAAGAAGATTTTTTCTTAAATATTACCAGTATATTGAAATATTTATAAAAAATTTTTAATACAATAAAAATTCTCTGTTCTTCATTTCTTTTAAAAAAATTAATAAAACAATAATAAAATTTTGTTAAAAAGAAAATAAAATGTGTGCATCAACATGATAATATTTTGCATTGCATGCGTGACATAATTTTTACGAAAAATAAATTTGAGCCTCCAAAGATGAGATTTTAAGGTATTCCGATAAGCAATACCTAAGAAATCTTTAGGTGAAAAATTTTTTTTCTAATGTTATCAACGTATTGAAACATTTTAAGAAAAATTTCAAAAAAAAGATTAAAATTTATTTTTCTCGAATATTTTTTTTAAAATTAATTAAAAACCAAATTTCAATAAATGAATAATTAAGAAAATTATTTTTTTAAAACACTGAAAATGGGATTATTTTTCATCAAAATTAAAGGATAACACGTAGTTAATTAGTACTATTTTAAACGAGCACTGTGGGGGTGCTAATCCTTCCCTACACATAACCGACTCTCGAACCTAGACTGTTACGCAAACCTTAAATTATCCTTTTAATAAATTTTAATTAATTTTGAGCTTTCATTAAAAGGATATGTTTTGATAGGTGGTCGATCACACCTAGCTAAAAAGGATTTGTGGTGACTCCGTTATTTTTTTTTAATTTATTTCGCTTCCAAATTCGTCGAGCGGACACAAAACTGTTACGACAATTTAAATTCTGAGAATTGTTAAGATATTGCTCTTTGGTCTTATTCCCTTTAAAGGAAGGAGATTAATTTCGTTTGTTCAAGATAAAGTTAATAAGACCCTTAAAGCATTCAAGAACAAATTTACCTAACCCTTGAAGAATTCAAGAACAAGTTTGCCTGACCTTTGAAGCAAATTTTACATCCAAGATCAAGTCAACAAGAGTCTTGAAGCATTCAAAAACAAGTTTCGACAACCCTTAAAGCATTCAAGAATAAGTCTGCCTAACCTTTAAAGTGGATTTTTGTTAAAGAAAAGAATCAAAAATTTTTCTTTATAAAAAAAATTTTCAGAAATTATAATTTCTATAAGTTTGATAAATAAATTTATTATTTGTCGTCAACTTTTCTTAACATATTTTTGATATGAAATTTGTGTGTATAGAGAGCTTTTTATAAAATTTTATTTTCATCCTTTAATTTAAAATTTTTTAACTTTTCAACTTAAAAAATTGTTCTTTCAACCATGAATTTATTTCAAATTTACCCATTAAATTTTGGACCGAATTAGTCATGAACATTTCTATCAAAGTACCACGTGACAAAATTTGAAACAAATGTAAAAGGATCATAAATGAAGAATTGATTTCTTTTTTTTAAATCAGGGATGAAACTGAAAAATTACAAAATGATTAAAGACTAACGATACAATTTACTCATTGTATTGCAGAAGTAAAAATCTAGCTTTTTCCTGAATGAGGTTCCACAAATCCTTCAAATGACGCTCTTCAGTCAGAGTTGCTCCTATTACGCAGCGTATGGCATAAATTCCACCCACCACTCCATGAGTCATGAAAGCTCGCCCACTTGAATTTATAGCATCCAGCAGTTTACAGTTCAATTCTCCGCTGTCCAGCTCATGCTTGGGCTTAAGCCTGAAAAAAATCAATACCAGCTTCCTAGGAACCACTATCTCGAACCTGTCATCTTTAGCTACAAGTGCCTCAAATTGCTTGGCCAGGCTGATATCGCTACGAATGTGGTGCATAAGATTAGCCACGCCATGCCTGCGGATCACAATCCAAAGCTTCAAAGCTCTGAATCGCCTGCTCAATGCAACTTGCCAATCTTTATAGTCCACCACAGCTTTAGATTTACTCGCATTGTTTTCTAAATATTCTGGATTAGATGACAATGAATCCACTAAGTACCGAGGTTCTTTAACCCACAGGCAACAGCAATCCATGTTTGTGAGAAACCATTTATGTGGATTCATGCTGACAGAATTGGCAAGTTCTACTCCATCAAGGAAATGCCTGAACTCGGGGCAAATGCAAGCACTACCTGCATGAGCTGCATCTATGTGAAGCCAAAGCTTGTATTTGTTGGCAGCTTTGCCTAATTCTGCAATAGGATCAACAGCTCCGCAGGCTGTTGTACCAATAGTTGCACATATGTAAAATGGCACCAGGCCTGATTCGATATCATCTTCAATAGCTAAACGAAGTGGCTCAGGTGACATTGAAAACTCAGTGGCAAAAGATGTTTGAATGAGTCGGAAATTTGATGGGGGAATGCCTACCAATTTTGCGGCCTTTCGGAAAGTGAAATGAGTTTGATCTGATGCATAAACCACCAACTTGGTTATATTCTCCCAGTTACCACCAAGTTCTCTCAAGGCTTTGTCTCTGGCAGCAGCCAAAGTGCAGACCACAGCCTCGCATGTAGTACCATGTATGACACCACCACCTGTTCCAGAGAACAAAAATGAAGATGGTAATTTAAGCATTTTGCCCATCCAATCCAGGACAATGGATTCAAGTTCAGTTGCAGCTGGAGATGAAATCCAGTTGAAGCCAACCACATTAAAACCTGAGCAAAGCATCTCTCCTAGAAAGCCAGCAGTGCTAGAACTTGCTTGATAGTAGGCAAAGAAACTAGGACTTTGCCAATGAGTAAGGCCTGGTAAAATGCTTTCTTTCACATCTTCGAGTATATCCTCTAGTGAATCCGGGCAATATGGAGCAGAATCGGGTAACTTGGCCGTCAAATATCCAGTCTCAACTTTGCTTTGAACTGGGTATTTCTCAATATTTTTATAGTAGTCAGCAATGAAATCAATCACTGCTTTAGACTCATCTGTGAAGCTCACTGGATCTAGGGGATGGAGGGGTTTTTCTGAGTTGCTAGTCATTTCAGAAAACAGGAAAATGCTTGTCTAATTTGTTTCAATGGCACTGCATAGCCAGCAGGCCAGATCAGATGTTTTTATAGCAAAAATTGATGGGGTGTGTTGATTTTTTTTAAAACCATGGAAATTGTTTTAATAATAAAATAATTTATGTACGATGAACTTTAAGATTTAGCTGGAAGCAAACTCCAAGCAATGGGCACCCTATTATTTACAGGATGAAGTCAAATATTTTACTTAATATATACATGATTAACATAAAAATAAAATTAGCTTATGAATATAACTCTAATGAATTATAAAATATAAAATAAGAAGAATTAATCATAAAATTAATTTTGTATATATAAAGATTATAATAGTTTAACTTTTTAAATTGTTTTTATTTTTAGCATCGAAAGAAAATACGACCACACAATAAATTTAGGGGTGTAATCAAAGGACAGACAGAAAGCCTGATCCCTCCAAAAAAAATTTTAACTTTTTTATAAATTGTAATTAATTTCACTAAATATTATACTTGATCTCTATATTTTTTTTTTTGAATTTATTATTTGCCAATCCTTTTCAATTTTCTTAGTTTCTCCTTTTGAATAAATTTATTTTGATATTCGAGGAATACTCACCATAATAGATGTCAATATATTTTTTATCGATTCGGAAAATATTTTTCTTAATTTAAGGAGATTTAAAGCTGAAAAGCTAATCGGAAGGCTCTTAATTGGATTTTCAATAGCCGGCCCCCACACCTCCGCCCCCATACAGGTGCGCGTAATCACCCCTGTTTGCTCGTACTATGGGATTAATTGCCCGCAGCAGCCAAGTTGTTGAGCATAATTAATATATTATTATTATTATTAAAGTTTTTTATTGAATTTAATGTCATCTAATATTAATTTAATTTAAAAACTTATCACCCTAAAACCAAATTTTAGTTTATATTTAAGCGACTTGTTTTTTTTTGCATTGTTTTGAGAAGTAAATTTAAATTTAGTATCATAATCCTACCACTCATGAGGAATAAAATTCCTACAAATTTCATATTTACTAATTTTCACATAATTTTTGAGTTAATAAAATTATCTAGTCGTCGTTACAAAGTTTAAAAACCCTTATCATTAAAAAAAATAACATTATTTTTTTATTGTTTTTGCAAGAAATTTAAAATTTTAATTTCTTTTCTATAAAATTTACAAAAATAATTATAAAATATATAAATATATAAATATGCAATATAAGTATTATTAAACTTCATCTTTATCACTAAAACCTAAAAATTCTAAGATTTCATCTTTATTGCAGAATCAAAAGTTCTCGTTGACCATGTACACCTTTGTCTTGTACTCGAAGAAATGGAACGAAAAATCCTTTGCCTAGATTTGTAACCTATAAATCCTACTGGTTCATGTGTATATTAAAAGTAGTCATCTACTTGAGAGTTTATTTTTTCGATAAAAATAACCACTAAAATTTTGAAATTAAAAAAGATTTAAATAAAATCATGTTAAAATATATCATTTCAAAATGCTAGTATTTATAAATATTTTGTTTGGATAAATATTTTTTAAAATTTAATTAATTAAATATTGATGAGATAAAAAAATTATAAAATATAATAATATTAAAAATAAAAATATAAATATAAAGATGTAATATGAGTGTCATTAAATTTATGAAAATATATAAATAATATTAATAATATGAAAATAAATAAATTAGAACTAAAACATGATTTTTTTTTTGTTTTGTATTATTAATGGATCAAGTGAGATAGAATGAAAAGAAATTTGAAAAACTATCCATTTAGATAGAATTTTAAGAGAAAATTTGAAATTCTTATATTTCTTTTCAAAATTTCTCTTAATAATTTTTTTTATCAAAATAAATAAGTTAATTTTTTTACTTTTAAAAGCTTTGATTGAATTGAAAATGAAAACTCTTTTCCAAAAATTAATCCAAAGCTTCCATTTAAAATTAGCTTTTGTTTTTATTTTTAGTGAGAGGGTAGCTTTCATGATTTGCAAAACCAAATACAAATTCAAAAACACTAATTCCAATCCCAATTACATACTAAAACATGAAACTAGCAATGTGAATCGAAATTATATGATAATAACCTTAATCTCTTTTAATTGTTGATTACATTTTTAGTTTACTAGAAGTTCTTATCTTTGCTTAATGGTGTTTTTGCCTCATGATCATTGCCCATTTTGTGGTAACAACATGTATGCAAGGTGTTTGATAGAATGCCTAAACCAATCTGGAATTTCCAGTACTATTTTGTTTGTTCTTTCCTTTTAAAAGTCATGTTGCAGAGCTAGCTAAAGTGGAGAATTGGCACTACAGCAAAATGGCGTATTAGTGACAGTTTTGTAATAGCCTTTCACTTACAAATGTCACTAGCTTTTGTATTTTTATAAAACTTCAAGCATTTATTATCCAAACGCCACAAATATTCAAATAGCAGCGTCGTTACTTTTAAACACCATCCAAGACTTAATATTAAAGGCATTTCTCGACTAAAACGCTTTGAATATTTTTTATTAAAAATTTTAGTGTATAGTTAAGGCTTATTTTTGGTAGATAACGCCTTCAATAACTATGTCATAAAAAATTGTGTGAGATTAATGAAGGCATTGTCTACAAGAAACGCCTTTAATATTTGGACCAAAAACTTTCGCAAGCTTATTGAATTTATTTTGTTCAAAAATACATTCAATATTAAGTTTATCAAATTGTTTGGATCGTACAAATGTTTATCATAAGGTTGTTGGTTCGATCCGTCCTTTAGCTTTTTTTTTTTAGCTTTTGCATAAATTATTTGTTATTGATTATTCTAGGCGTTTTTCATGGAGAAACACCCTTAATAATCCATCGAAAAAATATAGAGTTGATTCTTGAAGGCATTTTTGGCTGAACTCACCTTCTATAATCCAATCAGTAAATTTTTTTGGTGACTTTTAAAGTCGATTTTGTAAAAACGTCTTCAATATTACATAGACAAAACTTAGATGGGATGTTTGAAGGCGTTTTTTGCTCAAAACGCCTTTAATATTCCCAACAATAAATTTTAATGGTCGGATTATTGAAAGTGGCTTTATTCATAAATATTTTGTTAGGGATTATTGAAGGTGTTACCCGTAGGGAAACAACCTTCATAATCCATTCGATTGATTTTTAGTTGGTATTACTGAAGGAGTTTTTTGCCTAAAATGCTTTTAATATTTCACACAATAATTTTCTGGGAGGATTATTGAAGGTGATTTTAGTAAAAAAGGCCTTCATTGTTTTCTGTTATAGGTGATTGAAGGTGTTTTCTTACTAAAAATGCTTTCATTAATCCCATCAAAAAAATATATTTGATACTGTATATGTGAAGTTAGTTGTAAGTTTATGTCCAGAAAAACGTTTGCTGTCAATTGTATATTTATACCCAAAAAATATTTTGTTTATATATCTGATACTATAAATTACATTTTAGAATTTACATAATAAACATTATTGTATTTCAATAAATTGACCACACATTCGAAATTAAAACTGATAACGTTGCCATATTAATATACTTTTCTGAAATAATCATACTTAGTAATTTATTAAGTACACATAGTATATTCATATTAAGTATAACAATAATATTAAACCAATACCCCCAATGTACAAATTTAAAGTTTCCATTCAACATGGCATGTTAAAAATATTATAACAATTTGTTCCATATATATTTACATTCAACCAACAATGTTTAACCTGAAAGTTTATCAATATTGATAAATGACAATACATAATCACACCATTCTTTACGAACTTCATCCAGCTCCTCTTCTGTGAAGCTTTCTTTACCCTCCCACTAAAAAAAACATTAGAAGTAAATGTTAAGAAATGAGAACATAATGTACCATTTTATTTTTTTGAATATATAACGAGTGTATGAAATTTATACTAACCTTGAATGGTGTGGTCATAAAATCATGTAACACTATCTCTCACATAAAACGAAAGACATAATATCCACATTCAGTATTACCGGGTTGATGAGGTACTTGAAAATTAAATTGAGTCGATTTAAAAAATATTTATCTACACAAACTCAGTATTAAAAGAATATATTTCACATTTACCGGTGTAGACACCCAATTTGGTCCAGGCCCAGATCAATTGGGCCTGGTCCAAATGGGTAAGCCCATTTTCTTTTTTTTTTTTTATTTTGTTTTTGTATTTTGTATTTTAATTTTATTTTATTTACATTTTTATTATTGTTATTGTTTTTTTTATATATATTTTTCTTTTTTTTTATCTTATGTATTTATTATTTATTTATTTATTACTACTATTTATTAATATATATATCCTTATTATTATTATTTTTTTATTAATATTTATATATATTTATCTGATTATATGTTATAATTTATCTATTATTTAATTTTAATTTATCTGTTAATTTTTTGGTTTATCTGATTTATTTTCATTAATATTTTTATTTGATTTTTTATTTTTTTTATTTATTCTGTTGAAGATTGGATTGAGATTCAATCAGAGTCTATATTGGATTCAATGATTGAATCCCGATCCAAAGAGGAGTTGGGATTGATCAGAAACTCTTCTAATCAATCCCTATAAAAGGACCCTCAGGATCAAAGGAAAAACACAGAAAACAGAAGGAAAAAGAGTACTGGTTTAGAGAAAAAGAGATATAGAGAAGATTTAAAGGCTATGAAGGTTCTGGTGCATTTAGAACAGTTCTAAAAATCAACAAGAATTTTCAGAGAATTTTTGCGATTTTTTTTCTGGGAATTTCTGAAAAATTCCAGATTTCGATTGAATTTTTCGGTGAAAGTTAAATTTTTCGACGACTATTCCGGCCAAGTTTGAAGTTTTCGGCCAACTTTCCAATTTTTGACAACATTTCCAGAAATCCATCAATTTTCTGATGAACTTCTGACGAAAAAGTCAGATTTCGACAAAAATTTTCAAAATCCGATGAATATTCAACCGAAGTTCTTCGGGTATTCTAGAGAGAAAGAGGAGAAGAAGAAGGAAAAAAGAGAGGGAAGAGGCTCGATCTGCTGAAAAAACGAAGGAATCAGCCTTATATACCCTCTCAAAACGACGTCGTTTCTACGTTAAGTAACCTAGAGGATCCGCGCATTTTATCAAGATCCGAC